TTGAAGCTCGTAGGGTTAATAATTAAGCCATCACTCTGGCATGTGAAGCACTTTCTTACGGTTGACTTGGTCTACACACCTCATTGCCGTCAACACAGCATATCCAAACAACCCTCCTTTCCTGCATGGATAAAAACACACATGGACGTCCTCGCAGGTGCCACTCGGCCAATCCTCCTACAGAACCAGCTTTAGGAGAATGTAATTGTGGGAAATGGTGTGCTGGCACAGCATGAGAGCATATCTGCACAAATTAACTTTAGACTAATGCAGAAAAACAGGCAGGTGTGGATAAGTGCTGGGCCTAGGTGAGGAGTTAAATTACAGAGCAGACGAATACACTGTCATCATCTGTGACACAAAATATTCAAGCGTTAATAATAAATGTGGTATTACGACAGCTAATGAAAGCATACGGGAGTGTAGAAGAACATACAATTTTACAGCTCAAATAATAAACAATAATAATTAATGTGAGTGTTTTAAGAAAAATATGAGCTTTAAATGTCTGGTTTTAAACCCTGTGGAATGATGGTCCTGTTTACTTCCATTGTGTGTTGCATATGTTAACATTTATATGTTAATTTTTCGGTAAAAAAAAAAAAAAATCACTGACGGGCAAACTGAAAAAAAAAAAAATTCTGTGGTAATCATCATTATGATTGTATTGAAACCAGAAGATTCCCTTAAAAATTCAGGTATTCAAATGCCCCGCCCCATGGGAAATCTTATTGGGTAAAATCCTGCTCCACAGAACTGCATATTGAACACAAAATATGTTCTGATTGGCTGCGATTTAAGGAAAAATGTAACTTAGATTTTTGTGAAAAATTCTATAAACCCTCCAGGTTTATGTGCTTGTATGGGGGCTACACAATGTTGATAAAAATGTGTGATTATATATCAATGTATTAGTAGCAGCAGTAGTAGTAGTAGTAGTAGTAGTAATAATAATAATAATAATTATTATTATTACTACTACTAACACTAATAAAAAAAATATATATATTAAATATGACTATTGTAGCATTTGACTGTAAAACAACAGTTGAGTGTTTAAGAAAAATAACAATTTATAAAAAATATATTAAATTATATATATTCATAAATAAATTATATATATATTAAAAATATTATATTACATTACATTACATTATATTATATTATATATATATTTTTTACAATACAACCATAACATTAGAAAACTTTTTATGGCTGTCTAGATTTTCAAATGCTAAACAATCACTGAGACACTGAAAACAAAGATCTTGAGATTATTTTGATTAAAGGCAGAGTAAGTGATTTTTCAAAAACACTTTAGAAAACTGATTCGGACCGAATCGCAAAACAAACTTGTAGCCAATCAGCAATAAGGGGCGTGTCTACTCGTGATGTGGAGTAGAGCGCGTTCAGTGCATGGAACGGACATTAGCACAGAAAGATAGAGATGGCGGATAAATATCGGATCAGCTTTCCAGCGCTGATCCAGTTTTCTGTCGGGGATTTGTTGCACCGCGCCGCTCACGTCCGTAGACACGGTTGTTGCACTAAGTTTGTAAGCAAGGTGTCCAAATGCATTTTTAAACAGTATAGCAATTATTTTATCATAATAAATGTTAACAAACTTGTTTTAATGAAATGTTTTGCCTGAAAAGTATGATATCTTTAAAAGAAATGCCACTTGGTTTGATACCTTATCACTTTATCAATAAAACTGATATATTTTAAATGTGACTTACACGTCCAAATACTTTTTGTGGCCACTGTGTGTGTTTCTATTCCAAGATAATTGCGCTTTCAATTTATGCTCTAAAGTTTTCCACTTCCTCAGACAACACTGCGCCCTAGTGGTTGCAAGACAACTTAAACTAACACAAAGAAGTTCTGTACACCATGATACATTGCCTTGAATTTTTATTCCATGAAGTAGTAATCAATCACTAAAGCCTTAATTGAATGTTTAAAGGCAGAGTAAGTGATTTTTCAAAAGCACTTTAGAAAACTGATTCGGGCCGAATCGCAAAACAAACTTGTAGCCAATCAGCAATAAGGGGCGTGTCTACTCGTGATGTGGAGGAGAGCGCGTTCAGTGCATGGGATGGACATTAGCCGAGCCGAGCGACAGAAAGATAGAGATGGTGGATAAAAAACAAAAGAGGAAAACGTCTGCGGAACGATAAGGCAAGAAGTAGGACCCGTGTAAATATCGGATCAGCTTTCCAGCGCTGGAGAGAACTTAAGGAGCGGAGGCCTGCGATCGGACGCCGAGGTTGCTTTGTTTCTTCTCAATAGGTGAGTAACAACGTGTGTCTACAACAGCTAAAGTCTGCCTACACTGGATGCGTTCAAACGACCGTTGAAAACCATTTGAAATGTGTGTCAGCAGGTCATAAATAGAACCCGGCAGCAGTTTTCTGTCGGGGATTTGTTGCGCCGCGCCACTCACGTCCGTAGACATGGTGTAACATTGGTTTTGCTTTGTTTCACAGAACTAATCGTTGCCTGGGTTGCGTACGTATATGTGGGGCGGAGCTATCAAAATAGGGGCAAGACCCTTTTGGGGTTGGGGCGTGTTTGTTTTGGTGATTTTAAATATCAACATTGGCTACCAGAAATCACTTACTCTGCCTTTAATCGTGCAGCCCTAGATGTGATTATTGTGATTATGTCAAGTTGCACAGAATTTGCACTTTTATTGTGGATGTAAAACTACTTGTCGCCGGAAACTTCTGAACACGTCAAACAAATCTGTTTGCATTCCACAGAAGAAAGACAGATGCGAGGCAGATTAAATGATAAACTTTCATCTCTGGGTGATAAAATTGATCAAGACAAAGAACTAACAAGCCAAAAATAAATGTTTCTGAACTGGAGAGAACATTCTATCACTCATTTGGATTTCATGTCTCTGAGTGTTTGGGAGACGGCAGCATAAAGCAGCTCTATGTAGAGATGGAAGTCAGCTGCCTCTGAACACAAAGTCATCACCTGAATGCATAAATCAGCCACTCAAAGCTAATTGTTATTCTACCTCCATGTATTCTTTGATCACGCTATTCACGTCTGAGTCTGTGTGGGCCAGGAAACACTAAGCTATCTTTGACACATGGATCTTTTATAAATCAAAGGACATTTATTATCTCCGTACAAACGACCTGGGGAATTCTCAGATGGAGAGCAACAATATCATTATAAAATCCAATCCGCCGGGTGTATCGAACATGTCCCATGATTACTTCCACACGAAAAGCTCTGCTGACATAATGAACAGGGCATTTGCCAAGCCTGCGATAACACTCCTGCTCCGTATTGATCTGATCTGGGAACAGTAGATATCTTTAATGCTGCAGTGGAGAGTCCTTTAAATGACTCACCTCCCATACCTCATCTATCAAATGTAATCTGTTAGCATTCCACAACATTAATCAACCCGCTGTCCCACTTTCTCATGTATGTGCGTGCATGCGCTCTCATGATTGTATGTGTGGGAGTCCGGGAGATTGTCTAGTTGTTGATTTTTCGTCTGCTCTTGATTAAGGGTGTTTACCGGTAAAAGTGTGTCTTATAAAGCTTTGCCCAGACCAATATTGATTCTCTACAGAAATTTATAGCCAACCAATCATACAACAGGTGAACACAAAGCCATTTTACAACATCCAGCGCGGCGTGGAAGAAAATCTAGATGATGTATTCCACTCTTTATCTCAGACAAAGAGATACAGCTGTAAATCTTTGTACATAAAAATGTGATTCTGAAACTTTCTTCCAAAACCTAGTGAGTTTCCTCATTGCCTGCTGCCTACATAGCCTTCAAAGGCAACACCCTCCCAATAAATGTATGTTCTGAAAACGTTGTGGGAACAGTGATTTACAATATTTCTAAAATGTTAAAATGTCCAGTTTTCTTGTGGTTAGAACATTATTTAAAAAGTTAGTACAACTTTCTCCTATACTCAAAGTATAACATTGTTTATATGTAATATTCCAAGTACGTTAACATTCAGCAAATATCAATAACATCACACACAGCGGAGTTCTCTCAACAATGAGATGAGAATGCATATTCAATTGAAAAGTTGTAAGAATGTTCTATAAATATTACTTTAGGAATGTTTTATCTTGACATTTACATAACCTTTAGAAAACGTTAGTGTAAGTTGTGCAAACGTTCCCTATTAGCTGGGCTAAAAGTTCTGAAATGAGAAATAAGACAGAGAGAGAGTGAGAATAATATTGAAATACTTTAATAATCATAAATATACATGGCCCATTCAAATTTCTAAATATTTTGCACTATTTTTATTGATACCGTTCAGTATGAATAACACTTTATAAATGTAAGTTGTCTTGCTTTGTTTGCCATCTCTAGTATTTCTACCATCATGGATTTATTTATTTATGTATTTGTCTCTAAACCTATCCACCATGTTGCATTTATGATTTCAATTAGCTGACTGCCATATTATTATTATTTTTTTCACTGAGATTTTCTGCCGTCTTCGATTAATTTGATTATTTATTTACTTTTTTACTAAGCTTTTTCACCATTTTAGATTAAAATTTTTACTGAGCTTGTCCGCCATCTTGGATTTAATTTTTCTCTGAACTTGTCCACGTCTTGGATTTATTTGCCTTAAAATAATATAATTAGTCTGAAAACAAGACATATTAGGAGGTAGCATAATTAAGTTAAATACATAATTTTAAGGCATTATAGGTTTCATTTCATGATATGAAAGCTCTTTCAAGAGGACATTTGGAACAGACTTTGTGCACCTATGATGATTTATAATGCTTTGAACAGAGCTTACAAGGTTTTGGAACAGAATTCACATAGTTTATATACTAGCTGTCAGCAATCTGTCATCACAACCCATCTAAGCAGTAGTAAAAAAGCACAATCCCTTAAAGTTCCTCTATTAAAATCTCATTCAGCTGAGGTCCATCATCCACCTAATAACACAAAAGACAAAGACATGAGTTTAGTGTTGATCACTCACCTTTCTTGTCCCCAAAGAAGAGCGTCTGTTGTGCAGGGTTTGACCACTGGAGGGAGGTGTTGTCATTGTGTTCCACACGGCAGGTCAAGTTGGCTATTCCTCCTTCTGTCACAGTCATGTTCTGGACGATAGGGAACTGGCCATGGCCTCCTGGAAGAGACAGACAGAAAGCGTGTGAGAGACAGTCACAACCACAGAAACATATGGAGCGATCAACCTTTTGCACGAGCACTCTACATGAAGCTGTGAATAAAAATAGTGAAGAAGACGACATAAAAGCACTTGGGAAGAGTAAACGAGCTCTTCCACAGAAGTTTGCATATTATTAATGCCACATAAAAAAATACCAAGCATTACAATGGTTTATTGACAGTTAAAAATCCAACCCAGTCAGTCAAAGTGACAGATAATGACTATTTGTAGCGCAACCTCTGGCTATAATGCGTTTTGCTGAAGCCCAGATCATGTGGTTTGGTTTTTGGAAGAGTTGTTCCAGAAAGGCAAAGTGGAAGAGAGCTATTTACATCTAAACGTGGGTGAAAAGTACAGAAGGCGATGAAAATTACTTGCATCATTCAACACTAAATCAGAATTGAGTCAGAAACACACGAGGAGAGCAGGCAACTGCTAAACTCATGCCTTCAGAAACACAAGATCTGTGAATAAAGATTTAGGTCTGTTTTCAAAAGCAACCAGATGACAATAAGCAGCTTTTGTGGCAGGAGTTCTACCTGGAGGTGTTGAAGGAATTGAGGACTCATCAGATTAAAACTAAAGTTTCTATTTCATATATTCTTTTTTTTTTCACTTGTTTCATTTGCTGTGATTTTTTTTTCTCCAAAAAAAATCCAGACATTTCATTAGGAAACCATGCAATTATGAATGTCAAATGAGGGCAAAATATTTTGTAATGGATTTTTTGGCAACATAGATTTGTCTTGTTGACCAACAGTAACCTGCTTGTTTGAAAGTGACTTCTGTGTGAATGTCACTTCATACATTGCTACAATACTTACAACAGACAACGGATATTTTTTATCAACAAAATTTTGCCAAAATTTCACCGAAAATGTAACATCGTCCTTCATGGCTTTCATAGTAGTAGGTTTTTTTAAGGTGTCCAGTAGCACGTTGCTATAGCCCAAGTCAAAAGAACCCACCCCAAAAGTTTTTATAAGAGACCCCCACATACAATGGACGTCCCCTACGCACCTAAAAACAAAAGATAAGGGTCACTTGTGAGCCCTTGCTTACTATGATCTGAGCAGAAGACTAAATAAAGGTTTAGCTCAGTGAGAAATAATTCACAAACTGACATCCATCACGGCACCCCAGGGTTAGACAGGTGAAGCTACGAGAATATTTTTTGTACACAAAGAAAACAAAAATAACTTTATTGATTATATATGACGCATATGTGTGGTGCTGCTGACGTAGAACATGCATTGGTTGTGCCTTGTTTACGAGCAGAGGAATGCACACACATGCGTCGTGGTAATAATATTAATGGTGGCGGACGCTGGCAAGGAAGAGAAGAATTGTTGAATAAAGTTGTTATTTTTGTTTACTTTGAGCATAAAACGTATTCTTGTAGCTAATTAATGACAGAATTTTAATTTTTGGGTGAACTATCCCTTTAAGTCCTATAACTGAAGGAGAAATTAATAGAATAGTTATTAAACACCCACAGAAGTCATGGATTAATATGCGAAAGATGTGATTTAGTGCATGATTAGGACACGGTGAGCACAGTTTGGTGGCTGATGAGAGAAATAGAGATCGACGGTTATCTAGTTCGATTCAACTCTGCAAATTTAGCACCTTTTTTTTCTGTTCACTGCTAATTGCAGCATGCCACAATTAGCCTGATTTGAGAGCCCGTCCAAATATGGTGTAGCTTTCATGAGAGAACCAGAAGGACAAGAAGGAGTGAGTGAGAGAGACAGAGAGGGAGAGAAGCTAAGGGCCTCTCCACAGGCTTCCTGACAGAAGAGCACGTCGGCCAGCTGTGGTGCTTATTTCTTTTCCGTGCCTCTGGCGGTCATATTATACACACACACAAACACTGAGGAGGCGTCGGTAAGGGATTTATTTAATTTTCTCACTTGTTTTAGTGAGACAGAAACAGCTGCATATTCCACTGTCTTGAATATTATGAGTAGAAAATATTGTGCTATTGCTGTAGCTTAGCACTGTAACGCTAATGATGCAACTCAGCAATGATTTATTTGCAACAAACTTGCAGATAACATATGATAAATCTGAAAACATGAGACATGGGTAATTTTGCAACAATTTTTTGGCAAATATTTGCCAAAACGGTTTGGCACATTCATGCAGGAGCAGAGCTTGGTTCTGTTTTTAGTTCTGTGTCAGTGTGACATCTAGATTCTGTAATGAACCTTAAATTCCCATAAATTCAAAAGGACTTAGAATGAATTTTGAGAGTTTAGTAAAACTGAACTGCAATATTTAAAATGGTGGTGGACCAATATGGATTTTTTGATGGCTGATGTCAATATCAAGCCAAAATCTTTAAAAATCGTTACAAAAAGGGGGTTGAAGTGATGATAACCTAACAATAACCTAAATAACCTAATAACCTAACAATAACATAATTAACCTTTCTGTGAACAGTTCTTAAAAGAATCATATTTTCTTTAGTGTGAAAAATATTTTAATAATCTAAAGAACATTTTCCACTATAAATAACCTTTTGTGGAATGGAAATGTTAAAGGTTCTTCATAGAACCACCAATGCCAATAAAGAACCTTTATTTTTGAGAGTGTAGTAAATAACATGTGCACAACAGTTTCATCAATGAAATTTATATTTATTTTACATATTTACTAAAAAATAAATAATTTGAAAAAAAACAAAAAAAAAACCTGCGCTCAGACACTGGTATTCTCAGCGTTGTCAAAATAAATCAGTCAAACAGAAAATATAAAAAAAAAAATAATAATAATAATATAGTGACCATGGCTAATTTTTAGTCAATGGCTACCGTCAACTGTTTGGTTACCTATACCTACCCACATTATTTAAAAGGTTTGGAACAACATGAGGGTGAGTAAATGATGACAGAATATTCATTTTTGGGTGAACTATCCCTTTAAGTCCTATAACTATTCCTTTAAATTCAAAAGTACTCAAATTGAATTGTTAGAGTTTAGTAAATGAAAATGAAATATTCACAATATATGTGTTGTATATGCTGTCATGTCAGAATGCACATGGATTTTGAATGGCTAACTATACCATCTGAACCCTTTGTGAGTTCAAATGGTATAGTTACGGAATGCTAACCAGCCAAAACATGACCCCATGGTTCGTTTCTCTGGCTCAGGGGTCATATGAGACTGTAGAGTAGGTCGTTACTACCTGATTAAGGTCTCCTACAGACCACAGCAATACAGGCAGAGGAAGAAAGAGACAGAGAAATTGATCTGTATTACTCTAGGTAGGCAGGATACATTATTCATCTGTGTTTTGCATGAAGCACGGTCTGCCAGCCCCTGTCTCTAGTTCTCTCTCTCTGCTTCCTTGATCTTCTCCTGCCTCATTTTCTCATCCCCATCCCTCATCACTCTTCTCTCTATAATCAGGAGAAGGGGTCAAGATCCATGGGAAATCAGTCATGGGAAACTGCACCAAAACTGTAGGTACAAATCTGGTTCTATTTTTACACATATGGTTGATAAAGTCCGTTCTACTCGCTCATCACTGGAAACATGTTACGTTTTGGACAGGTTTTAGCATTAATGCAAAGAGTTTTTTGTTATGTGCTTCCAGCTATTCAGAAATGCCTATTATTTTGCATATTTCCCGCTAAGAGTGCCTATGAATAACAAACAACTGCTGAGAGACACCTGAAACTACCCACAATGCTGAAAACATTATACTTTAAAACATACCGGGGGAAAAAAAAGTTTACAAAAGGAGTAAATATGCTTAGCTGAAGAGTTTAAAAGTTCAACTCTGAGGTAACTCACAACACAAAATGTATTTACTCAATAAATGAATGAAAAATAAAGCTGTTTCTAGTAGATAACGCGCAATGCTATATAGAAATCCATACACTATTTGAAAAATACATCTGTGTACTTCTTGTACCCTCCGTTCACCTTATAGAACTACACATATCAAAAATGAACTAATATTAGTATTTCACTTATCATGAAGTAAATGTAAGGATTTATTGGATCATTAGGATTCACTTAACTTCTTTGTTAGGTATTATTTAGAAGAAAAAGTTAAAGGCGATTTCAATTTTTCCTTTCTCTTTGAAGTGTTACAAGCTCTTGGTGCATAAAGAAGATCTGTAAAGTTGCAAAGACTAAAGTCTCAAATCCAAAGAGATATTCTTTATAAAAGTTAAGAGTCAACCACACCTACCTAAAACAGCTCGTTATAACACGCCCCCACATGTCTATGTCACTGTGTGGGAAGATTTGCATAACACCACCCAAATGTTCACGCAAAGAAAAAAGGCAGTAACTTTTATTCTCGCTGTAGTATTGTAGTTGTTGCCGCCGCTGCCATGTCGTGAAGGCGCTGTGT